AGTGGGTGCCCACCTTCCCGATACGATCACTGAAGACAAACGTGTGCATAAGCAAATGTGGGGAAGAAAGCTGCTGCTTCCCGGCTATCAAAAGATATAGCATCTGGGGTCTTAAAGGCTTGAAGATAAACAAGTGGCCTTTCAGCTCGGAAGCAACAAAGCCCACATGGAAGATGCACACCAGCATGTGATGGAATCATGTATCAGGCATCTAAGACTCAGAACAAAATCATACCAATGTGAATGAGGGGTGGGGGCACATGGAGTGGAGGCCCAAAGCCCATCTGGGGACAATTGGACATCCCCTTACAGAAAGGTCATGAGGAAGAGATGAGCCAGCCAGGGTGCAGTATAGCACTGATGAAACATAACTTTCCTCTAGTTCTTTAATTCTTCCTCCTTCCTCCCCTACTATCATGACCCCAATTCTACCTTACAAATCAGATTAGACCAGAGCATGTACACTGCTACAGATAAGAGACTTAAACACAGGGAATCCCAGATAGATAACCCCTTCGGGGTCAATAATGAGAATAGAGATAGCAGGAGGATAAGGGGAGGGTGGGGGGAGAAATGGGGAATCAATCATAAGGATCAATATGTAACCCCCTCCCAGGGGGACGAGCAACAGAAAAGTGGTTGAAGCGTGACAGAGGATGATGTGAGATATGAAAATCATAATCTATAACTTATCAAGGGTTCATGAAGGAGAAAGGAGGGGGAGGGTCGGGGGAAATGAGGTGCTGATATCAAGGGCTCAAGTAGAAAAAAATGCTTTGAATAGGATGATGGCAACATATATACAAATGTGCTTGATACAATTGACATATGGCTTGTTATAAGAGCTGTAAGAGCCCCCAATAAAATAATTTATTTTTTTAAAATACAGAATATGATAAGACATTCTGAAGGCAGGAAACCCTGAAATTGTTTCTTCTTCTTTTTCCAAACCATTTTGTTAGCACATCATCCAGACATCATACTATTGAGTGGTTCAACCACAATCCATTTTATCGTTTCTGCTTTTGAGAGTCATAACTACATTCTGGTGTAGAGAAATTGCCATTGGAAAAAAAAAGGCAATTTTGATTCTTGTTAGTATGATTATAAATGAAATTTAAAAGTATTAGAGGAGTGTTTTATCCATTTTGATATCTGAAAACAGTATCAAAATCTACTGGGTTTTTCCATTGAAGTGAAAATAGTGAGAAACTGATTTTAAATGTGAAGAGTGTAACTAATATGCTTTTCTCTTGAACTGTTATAATTTTTGAGGTAGTTTTACTATGTTTAATTTGTATTTGTAAAAACAAACAAACCCTCCAGCTCCACCCCCACCCCCCCAAATCTGGGTAACAACATCAAAACTGCTGTGCCTTCTATTTATCTTTGATTTCATTCTTGGCAATTGTTTAAAGAAAAATAACAAAAACTCTAGATTCATTTTATTAAGATTAGAGTACGTGGGGAATTGTATAGCCCCTCACTGTCTAGCTTTTTTTTTTCACATTTGTTATCCCTTACTCTGAAATTGAGTCTCAAACTAGAATGCCATGGAGGTCAAATGCTTTTATAGGGGTCTTCTGACCTAAATATTTCAGTAATTGCTTTAATTTCTATTTTGGTATCTCATCAGACTTCTAGCCCATATGAAGAAATGTGACTTTAATTGGACATCACTGATGTGCTTCAGTGTCTGCTAATTTGTTTGTTTGTTTTCCCTTTAAATCACTGTCATCTGAAAAGTTCGCTGTTTTGTTCTGGTTCTCTTTTGTTGATGGGTATACAGTGCATGTTGTTGGTTGGACAATTTTTATTAAAATATTTCTGTAAGAAAACTTAATCTGGAAAAAATTTTAAATCACCTGAAAATAGGAAAGAATAAGAAAAAAGACCACCTTAAAACACTTGAGTAAGGGAAACAAATTAAATCCAAAGTAGAAGAAAGTAAAATAACAAAAATAAAAACAAAGATAAATGAAATGATAAAAAAAGTTAATAGAGAAAATCAATGAAACAAAAGGCTAGTTTTTTTGAAAGATCACTAATGTGGATAAACCCCTGGACATATGAAAAGGAAAATGATGGCAATGTATGTCCAGATGTGCTTGACACAATGGACATATGTATGGATTGTGATAAGAGCTATAAGAGCCCCCAGTAAAATGATAAAAAAAGAAAGAAATTAACCTCAAACTTCAAGAAATTCATTTTTGACAATAGATTTCCTTGATATGGCACTAAAATTACAAGTTACAAAAGAAGATAATAAATGAACCAGACCTCAACTAAATTTAAAACTTCTGTTCAAGAATTTACTTTATTAAGAAAATTGATAGACAATTTACTGAATGGGAGAAAGTATCTGGGAACTACCCTGCTTCCCCGAAAACAAGACAGTGTCTTATATTAATTTTGCTTCCAAAGATGCACTAGGTCTTATTTTCAAGGGATGTCTTATTTTTCCATGAAGAAGAATACGGTTCACATTTATTGTTCATTGTTTTATTGCTGATGAATATCAAGAAATGGACTAAACTCAATTAAAAAATTTTTTTTCAAAACTGAACCAAAAGACAGCATCATCATAAAAAGAGAAAAGATGGGAGTTGTCAATTATTTCATTTTATTTGGTTCCATTATCAACACTCATGGAAGCAGCAGTCAAGAAAAAGGCTGTATTTGATTGGGCTAATCTGCTGAAAAAGAGCTCCTTAAAAGTTTTAAATAGCAAAGATGTGATTTTGAGTACTAAGATGCATCTGACCCAAACTATGGTATTTTTAATCACCATACATGCAAGGAGAAATTGGACAATAGGTAAGGAATAGCAATTGATAGGTTTGTATTATGGTGTTGGTGAAGGGCATTGCATATTCCTTGCACTAAAAGAAGAATAAACAAATGTGTTTGGGGAGAAGTTCAGCCAAATGTTCCATGGAAACTATGATGGCAAGACCTGGTTTCAAGTAATTTGGGCATATTATTATGAAAAATAGTTCCTTAAAAACATATTATACTTGGTAAAGTGGATCTCAATGAAAAAGAGTAAGATCGTCCCTTGACAAGATACATTGGCACCATGATTTCAACAATGAACTCAAGCATAGCAATTTTGAGGATGATGCAGAAGCAAGCAGTGCTTTCGTTTAGAGTACATAGAGTTAGTATGCATTGGAATCAACTGGAAGGTTGGTTACTAACAATAAGATAACTCTTGGCAAAGGCTACTGTGCACAATTGGATTTGTTAATAGGAGCTTTAGGAAATGCCTTCAAGGAAAGGTTTTCTGCTTAAAGCCAAGGTAGAAGACTTAGAGATGGAAAGCTCAAACAAGTGTTTTGTGTGCCAAGACATTTGGATTTGAAAAGGCATGTAATAGAACTTTTGGGAGACTGCAGGGTGGAAAAAAGCAACTTTGACTTTTGGAATCTTGAGCACGCAATTTACCTTGTGAATGTATCTAGGGAAAGTCTAGGCCCTTGAGACTTCTCTATCCTCTAGAACTGAATGTTAAAGGTAACTTACAGGTATCCTGGACCCACTTGTTTAGTGTAAGTGTGGGAAATACAGCAATGGAGAGGATGATTGCGTCTGGCCACTTATACCTGGTTCACAAGGACTAGAGGAGAGATGAAAATGGGCTGGCTAGTCTGAAGTTAAAGAGTTGCACAAAGCCTGATACTATGGCATGGCCTAACCTGAAGATACTAGCGTTTTCAAGAATTTACAAAGGGGTCCATGGTCTGAAGTGGAGGGGGTCATGAGAGGAAACCTCTGACTTGCCCATTATCTTAGCTTGGAATGGCTAGGACTGAATGGATCAGAACCTGACCAAATAAAGATAAGATGCTTGATCCTGTTTGACCCTGTGAGCTACTGCACAGTGCTTGCTGACTTGATGGATGGGCTCCCCTGATTTGACTTTGCGAATGGATGCAGAAAGACAAAGTTCCACCTGGAATAAGATTCTTCACATCAAAGTACATATTTATCTCCTCAGAGCATTGGGTTGATAAAAATAGGCATCAAAGATATTGTATACCAACAATTGAAGGAGATAAGGGCATGAAGTGGCTGGCTTTCAACTTTGGATTACACACATGGGTGGGAGAAGATGTTGATAAATTTGTGAGATTAGGGTGTAGGTGTTCATAAAACTGCAATTGTCAGGCGTAGAATGCTTCTGTTTAATTCACTTAAAAGGTTAAAACTGGGCTGGTGCATTTTTTATTGTATACATTTTAATTTTATCCTGTTGGGCACAAATATGATTTTGCTATTGCTTTTCTTTAAAGATTATGTATGGTTAAAGAGTTGTGTGCAGATATCACATTGACAAGGGGTAGTAAGTGGCAATTAGATTTTATGTCAACTTGAAAATAAATGAAAGTGTAGGGGGTGAATCCAACCTGCCAATCAAGTCACAGCCTGATGATTTCTCCTTGGTGGTTTGGCCTTCTTGTAAGTGGGGAAACTAGGAACCTCCCTCTCTCTCTGCCTCTTTTCCTTGCAGCCTCCTGGGATTCTGCCTGCCTCTTCCAGCTTCACAGTAACACACAAGCCACCACTTGTCTGTCAATGTATTGTACTGTGGAGGCGTGTGTGTTGCTGTGAAGCTGGAAGCTATGTTACTGGTATTTCAAATGCCAGCAGGGTCACCCAAAGTGAACACGTCTCAGAGAAGCTTCCAGACTAAGAGCGGACAACCAAGGAGGAATTGGCTGCCCACTTAGGAAGAAGTAGCCCCTGAAAATCTTCTGCATAATATTGAAACACTGTCTGATACAGAAGACCTAATGAGTGGAAACAGAACATTATCATACATAGTGCTGGAGAATGGGTCCCTTGGATTAGAAGGCATGGGAAATGTGACTTCAGGGAAGTTACTTTCTCAAAGTAGAGCTGACCATGGTGACATGATTGGAGTAAAACCAGTGGGAGTGGAGCACTTGAGATCTTCATTTGTTGTTGGGGCAAACTCAAGGTAAGAATAAAGAACTGCAAATTTTATTAATAATAAGAACTTGAAATATTGAAGTATGAATCTAGCAAAATTGGAAGTTATCAAAAATTAAATAGAATTCTAGACATTTGTGAGTTGAACTGGATGGATATTGGACATTTTAATTAGAAAATTATATGGTTTATTATACTGTGAATGACTCCATCAAGAGGAATAGTGTTGCATTCATTGCCCAAAAGGGCATTTCAAGGTCCATTTGAAGAACAATGTTGTCTGTGATAGGATTTTATCTACCCTCCTTCAAGGAAATCCATTCAATACAACTATTATTCATATTTAAGCAATAACCACAAAAATCAGTGATGGAGAAATTAAAGAACCAACATCTTCCATCTGAATTGATCAAACATGCCATCAAGATGCATTGGCAATTGTTGGTGATTAGAAGGCAGAAGGTGGAAACAAAGAGGAAGGAACAGTGGTTGAAAAATGTTCGGATGATAAAAGCAAACCTAGAGATCACATGATAGAATTGTGTGAGACCTGAAGGCCTGTATCTTCTCATTATACTTGCCAACTTGTTCATAGCACATACCTTGTTTCAAAAATCTAAAAGACTTCTCCACAAAAGTTCATACACATGAACTTCTCCAGATGGAATCTACAGAAATTAAATTGACTACATCTGTCAGAAGAGATGCTGGAGAAGCCCAATATTAGAAGCTAAATGCAGGCCAGTTTGAAGCTGAATTTTTTTTTAATTCTTCAGACCAAAAGCACAACTTTGAATTTATCCTATATGAATTTCAAGAACAGATCTGCTGCATTGAACAACAATGACGGAACATCTGATGAGTTGTGGGAGGACATCAAGAAGGTTGTTCAAAAAGAAGACAAGAGGTCACTAAAAAGACAGGAAACAGAAGATTGGTGTGGAAGTCATAACTAGCTCTTAGTTGCAATGTAGCTCAAGAAAGTGAAAGAAAGTTGAAGTGAAAGAGCTTAGTAGAAAATTTCAAGAGCAGCTAGAAATGAAAAGTCAAATATAATGAAATGTGCAAAGATTTAGAGTTAGAAAACCAGAAAGGAAGAACACACTCAGCATATTTAACTTGAAGGAACTCACGAAGAAATTCAAGCCTTGATTTGCAATATTGAAAGATTCGATGAGAAAAATATTGAATGACACAGAAAGCATAAGAAAAGATGAAAAGAATGTATGAGTCAATGTACCAAAAATAATTAGTCAACATTCAACCATTTGAAGAGATAGTATATAAGCAAGAACCAATGTATTAAAGAAAGTTCATGCTTCACTGAAAGCATTAGTCAAACACCCCAAGCCCCAAACAGGAATTATTGATGAAACATCCAATTGAAATATTTCCACAACCCGATGTAACAATGGGATAACTCACTCATCTATGGCAGGAAATTTGGAAGAGAACTACTTGGCTTCCTGACTGGTATAGCTGCTGTATATTTGTAACCATTCTAAAGAAAAGTGACTCACCAGAATGCTCACATTGTAGAACACTGGTATCACATACAAGTAAAATTTTCCTGAAGATAATCAGACAATGCTTGCATCAATACATTGACAGGGAGCTGTCAGAAGTTAAGGCCAGATTCAGAAGAGGACATGAAACAAAGAATGTCATTGCTGATGTCAGTGGATCTTGACTGAAATCTGAGAATATCAGAAATATGTTTCCTAGTGTATTATTGATTTCCCAAAGCATTTGACTGAATGTATCATAATAAAGTATGGATATCCTTGAGAAGAATGGGAATTCCAGAACACTTCATTGTTCCCATGAAGAACATGTACATGGATCAAGAAGCATGTGGGTAAACGGAACAAGGGACTACTGCCTGGTTTAAAATCAGGAAAGATGTGTGTCAGGGTTGCATCCTCTCATTATAATTATTAAACCTGTATGTGAAGCAAATAATCATAGAAGTTGGAAGAATTTGGCATCGGGAATAGAGGAAGGCTTATTCATAACGTGCAGTATGCTAATGCCACAACTTTCTCTCTGAAAGTAAGGAGGACTTGAAGTGCTTGCTGATGAAGATCAAGAATTGCAACCTTCAGTATGGATTATAACTCCAAGTAAAGAAAATCAAAACTCTCACAATTGGACTTATAGGTAACATCATGATAAAAGGAGAAAAGATTGAAGTTTTCAAGAATTTCATCTTACTTCAATATACAATCAATGCTCATGGAATTAGCAGTTGAGACCAAATGATGCATTGCATTGGGTAAATATGCTAGTTAAGAGCTCTTCAGAATGCCATGCAAGGATAGGCGCTATGGAGTCAGTCCTGGCGCATAGTGGCCCTATACACAACAGAAGGAAAGACTTCACAGTCTCTTGCCATCCTTATAAATGTTTGTATGTCAGAGCTGATTGTTTCAGCCATGATGTCAATCCATCACATCGAGGGCCTTCCTATTTTTAGCTGCCCTTCCACTTTACCAACCAAGCATGATTTCCTTCTTCAGGGATTGGTCTCTCTTGACAACATGTCCAGAGTACATAAGATGAAGTCGTGTCATCCTAAGGAACAATCTGCCTGTACTTCTTCCCAAACAGATTTCTTTGTCCTTGTAGCACTCCATTGTACTTTTGATATTCTTCTCCAGCACCACAATTCAAATGCAATGGTTTTTCTTCAGTCTCCCTTATGCAATATCTAACTTTCACATTCACATGAAGCAATAGAAAACACCATGTTTTGAGTCGGGTGCACTTTTATCTTCAAAGTAAAAGCCTTGTTTTCAATGCTCTAAAGAGTTTTTATGTAGCAGATTTACCTAATGCAACACGAAGGGAAGTGGAAAAGAGGAAGACCATCAAGAAAATGAATTGGCACCGTGGCTGCAACAACAGACTCAAATATAACAATTGTGAGGATCGGGCAGGATCAAGCAGTGTGTCATTCTGTTATACACAGTAGCTCTGAGTCAGACCCAACCAACATTCTAGTCACTGAAATGTAGATAGTCACGTATTGGCAAACCCTCAAAGTAGAAGAACTTTTCGATTTCTTGATTTGATTTGGTGTCTAGCTATCTGTTCTTTTCTCTTAGCTATTCAAGAGTAAAGGTGAAAAGCTGGGGAAGATATAACTGCTGTAACTTTTTTATAATAAAATCTTGTTATTCCATAATTTACTTCTCATTCCCTCCCAAATGTGTCTAATAAATGTATGTTTACTAATTAGGTGATGAAAATCAGAACACAATGTAACAGAATATACATTCCCAAAATAGTGCCATCTATAACAGCACATTAGTCTTTACAAAAGTGAAAAGGAAATTCAGTGAGGGAAATGCTACCCCAAGATCATGGATTTGAAAGCCAATTTAATACTAACATACATTTGCCACTTTTTTTCTTAGCTTTTTAAGATGTGTCTTAATTCCACAGACATCATTCTGCAGTGGCAAATGAGTGTTCTTTAACTTGGTGCCATGTATCTAACCCTCCTTTTTTTCATAAAAACATTTCAGTCTAAAAAGCTTTCCCATATGTGAATATTCCCCCATCTTAATAATATGTTTATGTTATCATTCACTAGTTTAACAATACTATTATTAGAATTATTAAAGTCCCCATTGAGGATACTCATATTATCTCTCAAAAAGCTGATAATACTGCCACTAAAGTGGAATAGGGATATATAGTTAAACCTTAGGTGTATGAATAGATTCTGAGTTCATGTTTAACCATAAATCCTAACCTGACAAGAGTTCATTCTTGTAATGTGGCCCTGCTTGATGTTTGCCCCAAGCAAGGGATCACTGAAGATATGGGTGCTATAGTAAAGTGTGGTAAATAAATTAAATGGTCCCTACTATCAGAAAGGATAGCACCTGGGATATTTTAACAAGCAGCCACTTAAGTGAGATGTCAGCTAAGCCCACCCAGAAGAAGCACCACTTCATGTGATCCAATGACTTTAAATAACAAAATCCAAGATCAGAGGAAGGAATTGGGTAAGAACTTAATTTCTGAGCACTCGGTTTAGAAAAGGCTATGGATAATAGTGGAAGCCCAAAATCTTTTTGCAAAGTTCCCCATGTAGATTAAGACTTCACTGAATTGATGAGGGATAAATAGCTTTGACCTCAGACAGAGTGTATCAGAAAGTGAATCAATACAGTTATAAGTAGGTTAAAATATAACATCATGCCATTTGTTTTCTGTCTTGATCCATTTAAAATTAGTTCTAGTTATTATTAGTTTCTGATCTCGTTTGGATTGAGGTTTTTCTGCGTTTTATTTTATTTTGTTGGGGGTATGATTTTCTTTATATGACATCCAGGATAGGTAAATCTACAGAGACAGTAACTAGATTAATAGTTTCTTAGGGTTTTGACAGGGGAGATTGGAGGGAAATGGGGAGTTAATAAGAATGAGTTAAAAAATGGAGAAAATGCTCTAAAACTGATTGTGGTGATGATTGCACAATTCTTTTTAATATACTCAAACTACTTAACTGTAAAGTACATTAATCCTATGTCAATAAAGCTGTTATATGTCAATTTTTGAGTATATAATAAAGTAAAAATTGACCAAAGATTTTAATAGTCAGTTCACCAAGGAAAACATATGGATGGCAAATAAATTCATGAAAAGATGCTCTCCAACATTAGTCATTAGGGGAATACAAAATAAAACTATAATGAGATACAACTAAAACTTAGTTGAATATCTGAATTTATAAAGACTGTCCATACCAAGTGTTGTTACTGCTGGTAAGAATGCAAAATTTTACAATAATTTTGGAAACTGACAGTTCCTTTAAAAGTTAAATTTACACCTACCATGTATGATCCAGCTAATCATCTGGTACATATGTACTTATCTAAATGAAATTAAATGGAGATCCATAAAAACACAAATGTTCACGACAGTTTTATTCATGGCAATCCCAAACAGAAACAGTACATTTTTCTATCAACACATCGTGGTATATAAATATAATAGAAATCTATCTTGTTTCCA